GGCCACAATTATATGCAGGCTCAAATGCCATATTGAACTGCTTCAGTATTCATACTAGTTTAATATACTTTTGAGAAAATAAAATTGAAAATTTGGATGGGCAGCACTTGGTTTCGGGTATGGGAAGCTACTTTTCTACTTTGGTACATCTTTGCCATAAGTTGAGGAATTGATGAAGTATTGAGTAAATTACTAGCAAGTATAAGTATATATAAGGTCTTATTGAAATTTGATAAACTTATATAATCTTATAAAAAATTTTTTGACATTTATAATTTTCCCCTTTACAAAAGTCTTGGATCTCATCTTAGTGCAAATGGCACTGAATGCTATATAACATCTGACATGTTCTATGTGGAAGTACACTTGGATACTACAGGACAACTGCGTGATGTCAAGGTGGCACATCATGGAGAAAACCCAGTGGTATGTAGAGTGTAATGGCTAAGTTATTTTTTCATATTTATGTTGATTTATAATTTATGTTTAAATAACATATTATCCTAAGCCAGTCTTTGCCAGGTTTTTCCCACCATGAGTTAGATTTTTTTTTTATAATATCCATGAAAATCACAAAATTTTCACTTTACCACCACCACCCCCAAAAAAAATTTTTTATGGGAAGGGGAGCATTTGAAGACATTTCCAAATCCCATGTTAAGCTTTATATGATTTATTTTGCTTTAAGGAAAAGCTATTGTATTCTCAGTAGTTTGTAATTTGTATATTATCCATTTTCTTTGTTCCAGAGCTGCCCAGAGCTGGTACAGCATCTAAGGTTAGTACTGTGTTATTTTATTATGAAGGCAATATTTTCAAAACCTTTATTTATACACAAACACTCTCCATTCCTTTCCAATGGTTTTCTGCAAATTGCTCTCATTAACAACAACAAATCAGTGATTTTTTTCCCTGTCAGTCAGATAATCAAAGAATTAGCTAATGCAGACTGGTTTACTTGCCTTTAAGACTGGCTAGCAGTCAGATTTCCCAGGGCTTCAAAGCTGTGCTTTCAGGCAAATATGACCTCCATTGTAGTATTGCACAGAATTATTGAGAGTGGATAGGAAAGCTGTAATGAAAAATTGGTGGCCTTCAAAAAAGGTTATGCTATGAATCAGATAAATAGAACTGAATAATTGTACAGTATGGGCTGGAAACATTAATTCAGTATTTAAAACACGGAAATTTGAAAGAAAAAAATGAAGACTATCTTAATTCTGCATTCTAACAGGATGTTATTATGTCCTTCGAGGATGTCGTTATGAGAATGTCTTTTATTTCTTTTATTATTCTTTTTTCTTTTCTTTTACGTTTCTTTTTGAAATTAAGTCTTAGAAATTAAACCTTTGAGAAACACATTAAGAATCCTCTGCTACAGAGGTAAAAGACAATCCAGGGGATTTGTGGGTTATATAAGAGTGCAGTTAGTCAATAAGGCCTACATATCTCTGAAAAGTATACAACAACACATTAAAGCTTAATAGTTTCAAGCAGGATACTGCACGGGAAGATTGAGAGCCAGCAATATCAAAACTCTCATTTCTCCTCTTCTTTCTTACAAATTAATACTGTATTTAAATAGAATTGCTGGTTTCAAATGATTTAACACAATTCTTCCACATAGACTAGTGTTTAAATTTATGGGTTTTGAATTTCTTATTCAGTCTGCTTTTGGATTATGAATTTCCTGTCTGGCTGCTTCCAGAGGGTTAGATTAGGAATCATACCTCCTCAGCCCTTATTCTTAACACTGGTACACCACAGAGTTGTGGTGTTGAGTCTCTTACTCTATGCCCATGATGGTGAACCTATGGCACGCGTGCCACAAGTGACATTCGGAGCCAGTTGTTAGGGCACGCAAGGCTCTAGCACATCTGCGCGCACTGGCCATCTGACTGGCCTTCTCTTGAGGCCTTTTTTCTCCCTCTAGAGGCTTTCTTGATGCCTCCAGAGTGCAAAAAACCAACCCAACAGGCAAATCGGAAGTTTGGGAACGGACTTCCGGTTTGCTCGTAGGATCATCCCCCCCCCTCCCCGAGCCTTCAGGGAGCCACCTGAAGCCTCCGGGGGGCATGGAAAGCTTTTTTCACCCTCCCCAGGCTCCTTGAAAGTCTCTGGAGCCTGGGGAGGGCAAAAAAAGTGTGCCAAAAGTGAGGGGGGCGTGTGCATGTGTGCTGGAATCGCACACATAGCATTATGGGTGTGGCACGCCCGCGTACGACCTCCCCCCCCTGCGCTCCTCCGCTTTTGGCATGCAAGCCCAAAAGGTTATATATTGCTCTGTACTCTTTATGTACATGACTGCATTCCCATTCACGCCAGAAATACTATTATTAAATTTGTAGATGATACAACAGTGGTGGGACTCACATCAGGGGGATGACTTTGCCTATGGAGATGAGGTGGACCGGTTGCTTTCGTGGTGTATAGACAATAACTTAATACTAATAAAACCAAGGAGCTTATAGTGAACTATAGAAGGAATAGATCAGACATTCAGCCATTGGTTATCAACGGAAGCCAAGTGGAGCAAGTGGCTAGTTTTAGGTTTCTGGGTGTTATCATAAAAGAGGACTTGACCTGTGGCGCCCACATTGCAGCACTGGTCAGAAGGGCCCAGCAGAGATTATACTACCTGAAACTTTTCAGAAAACAACAACTGAATGAAAAACTGCTGGTGACCTTCTACCACTGCACCATAGAGAATATTTTATTCTCCTGTGTGCTGCTCGGGGAATCCAATCATGGGTTAACTTTGTCCATTAGCCTAGAGACTGAGTATGTAAATTTTGACCACGCCTCCTGTGACTGGACCGAGTCAGTTTTTTTACTCAGTCCAGCCTAACGAGACGTCTCTCAATTCTCTCTCTGACTAATTGACAAACTTCTCATCTTTTCATTGGATTCAGCGGTAATTTTAACCTTTCGTGGATTTCTGGCTATCGGGGGTGGCGGCGGCAGTCCTTGCCAGCCCAATTTCCCCGCTGTGGAGCCTTCCTTGAACATGGGGATTGGGAGCTCTGCAGAACTGTCGCGCCGAGCTTTATAACTCCTGCTGCCTTAAGAAAGTTCAAAACACTCTTAAAGATCCATCTTATCCTAGGAACCCTTTTTTTGATAGTACAGAACAATAAAAACCAGGACAAATAGGCTGAAAAACAGCTTCTATCCCAGAACAGTAACTATATTGAATTCTACTATATAGTGCAATATTAATACAATATCAGGTTTTCAGTTCAATTGTATAGAATGTGAAGGATGTATGTTTTTTATTTTTTCTGTATAATGTACATTTAATGTATATTTAATTTTGTTGTACAAGGTGCAATGACAATATAGTAAACTAAAACTAAATTTTCTTCTTTCCTAGAGAGAGAAACTTCAATGAATTTTCTAAGCATCTTAAGGGTCTTGTCAATCTATATAAAGTGCCAGGTGACAAGTAAGTATTCCATTAAATCATAGTTTCATTAATGGAGAATTATCCCATAAAACAATTTGCATGTTACAAGCTGTTTTATAAATAATTATCCTATTCTGTCATGATTCAACTGAGACTGACTGCATAAGTGATAACACAATATCATGATAGGGAGAATTGTAGCACCCTGTATATAAAATTTATTTATTTACTTATCTAATTTCTGTAACAATCTCACCTAAGCGACTAAGAGCAGATTGCAAACATGGCATTACACATTATGGGAGGTGTGAGTCCTAGCATTCTAAAACATTGTAGAGCATCTACTCTTGGCAGAGAATTGGAAGCATTGTCTGATTCTAAAGTCTTTAGCTAGCTTTTATAGTGTGAGGAATTTCTTTTTTTATACAAAACGTTTAAAACAAGTTTCCTCTTTTCTTTTCAGCAAATTGAAAACTAAAATGTATTTGGCTCTGCAGTCCTTGGAGCTTGATCTTTCAAAGATGGCAGGGATGTATTGGTAAGACCAGTTTACCACAATGAACCCAGGATTTAGTTCTAATTTAAAAAAACACCCACCCACCCCCCAAAAAATACCCAGGTAGTGTAAGTAGGCTTGGAAAGAACTGGCTTTAATCCTATTTGAAATATGGATAAATAAAATATTTGTGCATCATATTATTTCACCAATATTCTTTCTGTTGCATAGGAGAGTGTTCACATTAATAAAGTTTAAGTCTTTCACCTTTGATGGTAATGGAGGAAAGATATAGTAATATCCCACATCACGAGTGCCTGCATCTGTATTAGACAAGGCATTAGAGACCATCTCTCATGTCTTTATTACGCTGATCCTTATACTATACCCAATGTTCTAATTAAATCAGAACTCCACTCTTAACCAGAAGTTATTGGTCTGAAGAGAAAAAAATATTTTTATTAGCAAATCAATCCGTAGAAATATCCAGAAATACTGCCGCAATTTGATCCATTGTGATCGCTGTTAAAAGGCACTGGGTCTGAGTTTAGAAAGATTGCAAATGCTAGTTTACTATAACCTGAAAGTTTGTCAACGTACTACATCATTTATCAAACCTTTTTCCTACTAAACTTTTTTCTTCTTTATTATGTTAGTTTATTATCCTGTTTTATTAGATTTATTGTAGCTGTAATTGTTTGGTTAATGTTATTATATGTATAATTATTTAAAGAACTTCATATGTATGATAGATCTTAGAGTCCAAATATGATTTAAAAGATCAGTTCCAAAGCTTTCAATAGAGGATGTGTGAGATTTTCTTTTTAAAAGATTAAGAAAACAGTTGCTGAAATAAAACTGAACTGTGTTTCCCAAATGCAGTAATAGATATCCAGTGCTCATGACTGTTTTTCCAGGGAGATTTAATGGCAGGAGAGAAGAGGATCTCATTTAAAGAATTAGATTGCAGTCCTGTCCAAATTTATATGCAGTTGAATTAATTCTGCAGACATAATTAACTTCTGATTGAACATGAATATGATATGTCTTTTGTATCATGAATGTCTAGAAATTTGTTTTTGTTTTTTATCTCCTTATAGGCAAGCCACGAATGCAAGTCCCTTGGACAAAATTTTGCATGGCAGCGTGGGCTATCTCACTCCTAGAAGTGGTGGTAGGAAATGTTTTTTTTACTAATCATTTTCTATAAAAGATGGAGGGAGGGAAGGGGCGAGAGAGCGAGAGATAGATTGATAGATGATAGATAGATAATTGTAGACAGACAGACTAATATAACCCAATTAATGGTGCAATGATTTTTGTTATTTTATAATGATTGATTCCTGATTATTTAAAGCAAATTGTGAAATTACTATTACCTAATTTTGTTCTTCTGGCCCTTGCTTAGCTCAGACAATGCAGTTCAATCAGTAGTGCACTACAGATAAAATACCGATTTCAAAAACTGCTAGTTCAGCAAAAAACTATAGAAAATGCACATAAACTGCATATTATAATCAATATGTACATTTGAAAAAAAATCTTTTGCAGTCTTAAATAAATTCATAAAGCCTCATCATTCTAGTCTTAAGGTCATCAAAAGCCCATTAAGGTTTACCAGAAATAACAACCTATCTATTTTAATCTTGATCAAATAAACCAACTTTTACTTTTATCAACTCTGATCTTTAGTCCCTTCAAATAAAGTTGTACAACTTGATTATTTTCTCTTTTTTTTCTTTACGTCTTCTCACAAAATTGTTCAAAATTTTAACAAGCCCTCTTTTGTAAATCCAGTGTAATAAAAGTCTCCAAATTAGTCTCTTGGTTTTTGTTTGTCTCTTTTAATTATTTTATATGTCCAGTGTAACATCTTTTTCTCTGTTATTCATACAGCCTGTCATTTCTAAATCCATTTTCAGCTCATTGTTGATCTTGTTAAGTTGAACTTGTTACTTTTCCATAAGGTCTTTTAAACACTATCTAACTATAGAGGAAGAGACTATTAAAATTAAATTGTGAGTCCATTGTTCAAAAATATTTTTCAGTATGTTCAATTTTAAAATATAAGTTCTTAAACTTATAGTTAAAATTTATTTCATCAAGGATTGCAGTAAGCTTACCCAGTATAATGAAATATATTGATTCCAAGATTGCTAATAGATGCAAATTAGTTAACAAGCAATTTTCAAAAGTGATTAGAAAAAGAAATATATGAACTTCCGAGTCCTTTCAAGATATTAACTGAGTTTTACCAAGATGCTTATTCCTTCATTCTGAGATCTCCAAATCTGAAACAGCTGACTTGTAAGCAATCTCAGATCCTTTCCTTGTACGGAAAATATTATAAATTGTCTAGTCATGGCTCATCTAGTCATGTCCTGATTTTCAGTTCTCCTTTCCACAGAGATACCTTTAGTTTGCTATTTCTTCCCCAGAACAAATTCAGTTTCTGACAACAACAAAAACTTTATATCTGGCACAAATGTTGTTCCTGTCTACAGCCAAATGCACTGTTTTTGGGGATTCCACATCAACTGCAGGATCCTAGGATTAACAACAATAGCAATCTGGATAGTTGGCAGAACAGTATTTGGAGACAGCAGAAGAGAAAGAACTTTTTAAAAAAATCACTATAATCGCAAAATACAAAGTGACCTGCAAATAGAAGTAGAATGAAGAAGAAAGTAATAGAAATAACCGGAATCCCACCTGAACACTATCAGCATTGGCAAAATCACCATCAGCCAATTGGAAAAGATAGTTTTAGTTGGAACAGCTTGCATCCTGCAACAATACCTTTAACATCATCAAACAACATCTGCCTAGCTCAGACCTTGGGAAATGCCAAATCCAGTGTAAACACCTACCTGACTGTAAGAACAACCATAGTAATATTAATACTATTAAACTCAACTCTCAAAGAAAGGCAGGCAGTATTATGGTTCAATTTTCAAATCATCTTTAGTCCCAAAAGTATTGAATAACAATGGTGGGTAAACTAAAATGCATAAGTCACATATTTTTAATAAATAAAATCATAACTTTTATTGTTTTAATGGCTTTTTATTTGTATTGCTTTTATAGTTTTTGGAATTTAATCATTAATTGAGATGGACAGCTATAAAAATTGAATAAATAACTAATTGAAAAGATTAACTATATATTCAGTTCAATATTTAGACTTCATTTTTACTCTTCTTCTGCCTATTCTTGCTTTTCCATTAACAAACCTGCTTATTTCAGGTCACCTGATGAATCTTAAGTATTATGTTTCTCCTTATGATTTATTTGAAGAAGGAACTGGAGCTCCCATCATTCTGAATGAGAATAATGGTATGTTATCCTTACATAGTATTTCCTGTTATCCACTGATTTTCTGAATTGGGCATTCTATATGCTGAATTGTTTTAAATCTTCTCCTTCAATATCCTTAATAGCAGTAAAGCATTTAGGTATGCAGTATTCATATTTAATAAAGGCTAAAGCAAATAATTCAAATTTTAAAAAACTTGTAGTCTCTTGCAGCCATTATGTGATAATTATTGATGAAATTACTACATTGTGGAACTGAAAGTTTAAATTATAGGTGCCCAGCCTTTTGACTTGCCTCGGCCACATTAAGTGAAGAGGAATTGTCTTGGGCTGCATATAAAATATATAATATAGTTAATGTATATAAATCATAGAATTTATGATCTTGTAGGGTCACATTGCTATCTGACTATTGCTAGCCCTTGGGCCATGGGAAATTGGTTGGACTCACATGGTCTAAATGATGGGGCTGTGAAATGACTATGCTACCTGGATCACAGATATATCCTCAACCTGAGAAATAGCCTGAAGTGCTGTGCTCTCTTCATGTTCCAACTCATTTCTGATTTCCAGAATAACTACAACTCTGCTTGCTCATAGACTAACAGAAAGACAAAAAAGTTAAGTATAAAAAGTGAAAAGAGGGGGACATATCTAAGGTAGAATATCAGCAAATAGCCCGAGCCTGTAAAGATGAAGTAAGGAAAGCTAAGTTCACAATGAAGAAAAGCTTGCCACAAAAGTAAAAAATAACAAAAAAAAGCTTCTTCCAACATGTTAAAAACAAGAAAAACGTTAAGGAAACAATTGGTCCATAGCTGGGAGAAAGTGGCAAGAAGGTGACAAGCAACAGGGAGAAAGCAGAACTATTAACTATTTACACAAAGGGATAAAACAGTCCAACCTATCAAAAACAGCACCACAAAAATCGGATTAGGAACACAAATTGAAATAGGGAAGAAAATCGTAAGTGAGCATTTACCTAGATGAGTTCAAATCACCAGGACCAGACGGATTACACCCCAGGGTTCTGGAGGAACTGGCAGAGGAGATCTCAGAACCACTGAACTATATCTTTCAGAGATCCTGGAGCACCATGGAACTGCCAGAGGACTGGAAAAGAGCTGATGTGGTTCTCATCTTCAAAAAAGGGGGAAAAAATAGATCCAGGAAACTATAGAGCTATCAGCCTGACCTCAATACCAGGAAAGATTCTGGGAAAGATAATCAAGCAATGAATTAGTAAACACCTAGAAGTAAACAAAGTAATAGCCAATAGCCAACATGGGTTTGTCAAAAACAGATCATGCCAGACTAATCTTATTGCATTCTTTGACAAAGTGACAAAATTAGTGGACCAGAGGAATGCCGTTGATATAGTTTACTTGGACTTCAGTAAGGCATTTGATAAGATAGACCATAACCTACTACTAGATAAAGTAGAAGAATGTGGGTTGGACAGCATCACCACCAGATGGATTCGTAACTGACTGACCAACCACACTCAACATGTAGTCCTCAATGGAACTGCATCTACATAGAGGGAAGTATGCAGTGGAGTACCCCAAGGCTCTGTTTTAGGCCCAGTACTCTTCAACATCTTCATCAATGATTTGGATGAGGGAATAAATGGGGAACTCATCAAATTTGCAGATGACACCAATCTGGCAGGAATAGCCAACACTCCAGAAGATAGGCTTAAGATACAGAAGGATCTTGATAAACTTGAACATTGGGCACTATCTAATAAAATGAAATTCAATGGTGAAAAGAATAAGGTTCTACATTTAGGCAAGATGTACAGGTACAGGTGGGACCTTGCTCAATAGTAGTAACTGAGAGGGATCTTGGAATCCTAGTGGACAACCATTTAAATATGAGCCAGCAGTGTGCAGCAGCTGCCAAAAAAGCCAACAGTTCTAGGCAACATAAACAGGGATAGGGTTTCCTGCCTAGGCAGGGGGTTGGGCTAGAAGACCTCCAAGGTCCATTCCAACTTTGCTATTGTATTGTATTAGAAAAACATAAATCTTTAATCACATTTATAAAGTGTAAAAAATTATTAGAACCTCAGGGTTTTTTGATTGCAACAATTACTAATCCAATAACTATGTTGTAACTCTTTGCCAATGCAACTAAACAAGAGGACACATCCATATACTATATAATGAAAATGAAATGGGAAGCACTAAAAAAGATAGATAAAAAAACAAGAAGGCAGATATAAAATTTATATTTCATTTTAAATTGTTTATGGAGCTAAAAAGCAGTAAGCAATGAATTATTTTCTACAGGGATTATTCTGGAGAAATCATGAATAAGTAAAATGTAGGTAGAAATGAAAAATTACTGTCTTCCAACAACAAAAATGTGACATGGAGGATAGAAAAAGAGAATGAAAAATATATAAACAAAATGAGAAAGGATTAAATGTTAACTACTTATTTGCAAAAAAAAAGCATACAGACATATAAGAATACACAAATTCAAGAAGAGAAGGAGATGCAAACATAGTGATAGCCTTGTGCCTCACCCAGAAGCAGAGGTTGGGATAACAATCACAGAGGCCCCTATGGGATGCATTGATCTCTTAAACAGTACTATACCTTCCTACCAAAATATTTGGAGAACAAACATTGTGAAACTCTTTCCTCCTTTGTGATGCAACCTAAACAAATACACTGAACTTCTGAAATATATATTTCATGTAGAATCCCAGAGAGGGCTTTGAATCAGAGACACCTCCTTAAAGTTAAAAGTGATCTTGAATTTCTTCATTCAGTGTCAAATTCATGATTTATATTGATATGGAGCACAATACTGGCGTTGAATGTCTTAGATGAGATAATCTTACATTTTAAATTGCTGCCACTTAATTTGAACGTTATTAAAGACTAAATAGCCAAGACTCAAAAAAGACATTGCCCCTCATTTTACTACCATCTCTTGTTACCCCTGCACATGTTCCCTTCATCTATATTGTTGATTCCATTACAGATACTAATCTAAGCCAAAGGATGTATATACTTTAATGTATGAGAAAGTGTTCTGTGGTTACAGTTCCTTTCTTAAACTCTGAAAGCTGGAAGGAGTGTGTCACTGACAGTCGTTCCTATTTTCAGAGCCTAATAAATATCTTTAAATGGCATTATTGACAGAGTAAGATCCCTGGAAAGGACATAGCTGGAATATTTGGTTTTTAAATAAAGTCTCGGGCTGTGAGAACAGGGTTGGAGATCCCATACAATCTTACAGATTTTCCAATGATGCTTAAAACTTTGAGAATAAATAGAAAAAAAGCATATTCTTATTTATTAAATGTATATGCTCCTGACTTCCAGTAAAAGAACATACTTCAAGAATATGACATTAAAAAAAATTCTACTTCCAGTTCATGGGGGGACATAGGATTTAAGCTTGCCTGCAGTATTAAATGGGTAAATCTTAACTGGTATATAGCAGCTTTTGGGAAGTTAAAAGTCATTGCTCACCCAAGAATGCCATCTATTATCAAAGGGCATGCATCACAAATCTGTTTTCTATATAACAGTGAATTATGTTGATTACAAGTTATGCAGTGTCTAGCATTAAACTCATTGAGCTACAACTATTTGAAAAATTGTACCTTTTTCTCCTTTCCTTTCAGTTCCTCGTTACCTAGGCATGAATGTATGTGTTACAATTGAGGGAACCTTAACTATGAATAAACTTCCGATTGCCCCTCTGATTATGGGGACTCACCCTGTTGATAACAAAGGGTAAGAAAAAAAGCAACACTGGATGCTCATTAATGTTCTATAGGACACGGTCATATCTGGTCCCTTTTTTGCATGTTGCCCATTATATTCTTTTTAATGAATAAAATAGTGAGTTAAGACTCTCCCTCCCTACACATGTAATCGTCTCTGCTGTGGCCTTCAGCCACTAAAAAAAAATCTGATTATTATCAAATTCTCTTTTCTTTTTTTTTAGGACACCCTCATTCTCCTCAGTTACCAGTGCCAATAGTGTTGATTTTCCAGCTTGCTTCTTTTTGAAATTTCCAAAACCAGTTCCTGTTTCTCAGGCTTTCATTCAGAAACTTCAGAATTGCACCGGTAATAACTTTTGATAAATTATTGCAAAAATTTTGTAATATCTGACAAAATTACATCTGACATTAGATGGCAGCAAAGTAGCTTTTAAAAATGCATTCTTATTCTTTTTCACAATTTAGACTATATATTTTCCATGAACCTAATTAGAAATAGTCCTATTTTCTGCTGCTGAAATTCTCTTTTTTTTTTAAGCCAAGCAAATGTCATATATTTATCATTATAAATAATTGTGGAAATAAATCATAGTCTGGAAAAGGATAGCATCTCAGAATAAAGTTGCACAGAGTTTTGTGGTAATAAATATGCTTCATCTTTTTCTGTTCTCCCCTGTCATTTCCCCTGCCCTGGCAAGTTACCCATAGCTACTTTCTATACTTTATCCTTTTTTATTCTTCCTATGTTGAACAAAAAATTGTAAATATTTGAAAATCTTAATGCCAAGCAGATGGTGTACCGTGTTTCCCCGAAATTATGACATGTCCTGATAATAAGGCCATGCCACATTTTTCTGGTGGGCAAAAATATAATCTGTCCCCCGCAAATAAGCTCCCTGGACAACCCCTCATCTCCAGGCAGAGTGCCGCTCACCAACCAAGCGGTATCCCGAAGATGCCAAGCCACAGGAACTGGGGGGGGGAGGCAAAGGTGATCGCGTTGCTTAGCCCCTTTGGGATACCACTAGATTGGTGAGCGACTCTGTATCCAGCTGAAGAGGGGGGTTGCCGGGCAGCTGCTCTCTTGTGAGCGGGCTCCCAAAGAGCCGGGCACAGCCTCATGGGCAAATGGCTGTGTTTTGCTGTCGCAGCAGCGTAACACAGCCATGAAGTAACTACATTCATGAGCAGCCAACCGACAAATCCCCTTTCCAGCCGGACACAGTGCCATTCACTGATCGAGGGATATCGCCAAGCCATGTGAGCATCTGTTTGCCGCCGCCCGGCTCCCGCAGCTTGGCGCCTTCGAAATGGCAGTGAATGGTGCTCTGCACGGCTGGAGAGGATGGTTGCGCGAGCAGCTGTTCCACTCTTGCTCGTACACCTCCCAGCCTCACAATGCCCTGGCCCAGCTCTCTCCGCAGAGCCAGGGGACCGCTGCCGCCGCCGCCACATGACTTTTTCTGCGGCTTCCAAACCGAGTCTTCTGGTAGTGGCCACTCTGGGCGTACGCTCTATGGTTGGCCAAGACAATCTCAATCTTATACGGGAAAAGACCCGAATACAACAAGACCAGCATATGTGTTTGTGTGTGTTGCATTTGTGCTGATAAATAAATGCTGATATAGTTCTCCTTTAGGTCTACAAGTCTGCCTTCAGCCTCAAATTCAAAACAGAGATATTATGCTAATACACTTAGTTAAAATGTTGGGAGAGAAATGAGGGAAAAGGCACAGGTTTTCTAATATATTAAATCTATTGATGATTATACATTTTTATCACCCAAGTATAGTACTCTCTCGGTGGACCATGTTAACTTTGAGGTTGTCTTTATTATATAATTAATGATATAATCCTTGCCAAATGGGAATGTATTTGTCTATTAAACATTTGTGGCATCTGGGAAGATAATTATGGCAATTCCATAATGCAGTAAGTTCTTCCCTCACCCCCTCCCTTTGGAGGAATTGCACTAAACAATACAATATTCCCTCAACTGCAATGTAATAATAGCTGTTCTTCAGTTAAATCTCTGGGGCTGATAATATTTTTTTACTATTTCTAGGTATCCCGCTGTTTGACACTCCTCCAACCTATGTCCCATTATATGAGCTCATCACACAGTTTGAGCTATCCAAGGAGGAGGAGGAGGAGGATCCTTGTCCATTGCACAATACTATGCGCTTTTATGCTGTAAGTTATCAAGTGAGGGAGTAATATATGAGCTAGGCAAGTTCTAAGTATAGAATTTTTGGAACACCAGAAAAATATTAATACATAGTGCTATAAATATAGTTGTGTTTTATTTTGTAATGCCTTTAGGTTTGAACTGAGAATTTCATTACTATTTAACTGAGAAGTCCTATATTGATTTGAGATAGGTTACAACCTAATTGGGACCAGAATTTCCATTACTAAGCAAAGCAATTGTTAAGGAAAACTGACTATATCACTTAGCAAAGGCGCATGCAGTTAGGCTACGACTTCAGACTGTCTGACCTTTCGGCCACCTTTCATAGCATGGTGTGTGGGTGTGTGTACAGCAGCAGAATACAGCAATCTCTTATCTTGGCCACGCTTGCAGGATGACCAATAGATTGGGAGGTAGAGATACGCTGATTTTGGGGGGGGGGGATGAGGGAGAGTTGAAATGGAGGTAGTTTGCACAGGGCAAGAAAACGTGACCACAGGACGCTGCAATAGTTTTAAATGCGGCTCAGTCACTAAGCACTCAAATTTTGATCACATGACTAAGAATGCTGCAGTGCCATAACTTTGAGGACCTGTGGTAAGTCAATTTTTTTCAGTGGCGTCATCATTTGAATGATGTTAAACAAATGAACATAACCCAGGGACTACCTATAGGCTAATTTCTTTTCCTGTCTTCTCTTTTTTCATTTTATATTCACCATTCTGGGATTAATCTTCTCTTAAGTTATTCTAAATATGCCTACTTAGGCTTAGACCTAGAATAACTTTATTGTCACTTTAAATGCACGCTAATCGGGGTTCACCGACAAAACCGCGAAGCCCTTTTCCGCCAACATAACCACAGAGGGCAAATCCGCGCCATCTGAAGCGCTAAGCAAAATGCGACCCTAGCGCACAGACATCCGCGCCTTCCGAAGCACTCAGCAAAATGCTTTTACTAGCATTCAAAAGCTAACCCTAATCCTAAACATAACCCGAAACATAACGCTAACCCGAAACATAAACCTAAACCCTAACCCTTACCTTAACTTAAATCTGCTTTCTGCCGCCGCGCTGTTGTAAAGCGCCCTTCGGTCACCACGCTGCTGTCGGCGCAGTGATGATGTCGCTGTTTTAGCGATGTGTTGTCAGCGCGCTTTTGTCGTGCGCACTTTTGTCAGGTCACGGCTAATCGTCATACATTAAAATGAAATTTTGTTGCCTACAGCTCTCAAAGATTCACCACCTTCAATATGCACTACATAAACATGACTAAATAAATTAATAAATATGTATACACCCACATATAATATCTTACCTTGAAGTGAACTCCATAGAATTCAGTAGAATTTCTTCTTGTAGATGTTTATGGGGATCACTGTTAATTTCTCTATCATACTGTTCATTTTATATGTAAGAGCAATAGCACCTCTATTTTGGTGGTAAATCTGAAAAATTCTTTTTTAGATAGTAATTTGCTTTGTGTCCCAAAGGTGCTTTTTCAAGAGGCAATTGGACTTTCTGGTTTTTCTTTGAAGATATTTCGCTTTATTATTATTTTTTTGAAGAAGCTTCTTGGCTGAGAAGCAAATTATCTTCAAAGAAAAACCAGAAAGTCCAGTTGCCTCTTAAAAAAGCACCTTTGGGATAGTTTGTTTTGTGTTTTATTTGCTTTTTTCTTAATCTACAGAATTATTTATTTTATGTACCTGAGAATTATCTAGAGAGAATTATAAACACTACCCTTTTTGAATAGTAGTTTCAATGTCATACTGTTACAAATGCTACCAATTTGGTTTTCTATCCCAGAGAACAAAGCTCAGTAGGTCTGTAACAGTCTTCTGCATTTTAAAGATTTTCTTCAGTGTTCCAGCAATATAGAGAAAATAATCTTTCTGGTTTCCAAACTGGAATAGTTACAGAAAAATAGAAATGGTTAAGGACATTTTTTCTTCCTTTATCACACTCTTGTTGACATAACATTCTCTTGTTATAATAGTATAACATTGACGTAATAAAGATAACAAAATTTTGAAAAATCTCCTACAACATCAATCCTGTATAGGACTTTTTTTTTTCCAAACTCAAGCAATGCATTGTTATGGTGTATTGCTATAAATTTCCAAGGGGTTCTATAAACCATCTCCCACTTTCTGTTTTTAGGGGTTTTTATTTTAACTTCCTCTCTTTATCAGTTCTGCCAATAGCCATTTTGAAAGCTTGTAACTCTTAGACATCTTTTAAGATTTTATGTATGTATGTATGGTTCTTTATCTATAATGTGCCTAATTCTGTTTATAGTACTTAGTTGAGCCTTATCTTTTAATAAACCCTTTTATTGCCAAATAAGTAGTATGCAATCTAAATTAGAATAAAAAATCTATTATTTTTTGATATCACATTATTTACCTGGAATGGAAATTAAAGGATAATTTCTTTATGACATGGGCAAACCCAGAAAAAGGCTCTTTCTTAACTGTTGGATGTTGGATTTAAAGCATTATATATTAATTTATTCCTGGAAGAGTCAGTTAAAATTTAACATGTTAGGGGTTAATTTTATTTTAAAATGCCTATGAAAAGTAATCAGAATGTTAGACTTGTACTATATAAGAACATGTCATAAGTAAACTCTGTATTGGAACCTAAATAAAGTAGTAAAATGTAGATCAAAGCAGTCTTTTGCTGTCTATGTGCAGGTAATTTTAATTTAGATACTTTTGTAACGAACCCAATAATTGATACTGATTGCTGAGTTTAATAGGAATTGAATATTTGCTGAATTGAGAAAGAATGCTTTCAATGTTATTATTTTGTCCCACATTATTAAATGTACAACATGTTTGTTACTATATACATTCCAGGATTAAGTAGTTCTCCATTGGAATATATCTCCTTTACTTCAGTAAACACACATAGTTGTTAGATATTGTAAGAGATGTATGCTAAATATCTGAATCGTTCCAATATGATTACCATACTTTTCAGAGTATAAGACACACCTCCCCCCCCCTTAAAAGAGCATGGAAATGTTGGTGCATCTAGCGAAGCCCTGCCCCTGCATCCCATTTTTGTGAAAAATGGGCCATTTTTCACCAAAACAGGGGAGTTTTTGCCTTCCCCCACCCCCCAGAAGCACTCTTTAGGCTTCAGCAGGGCTGGGGGAAGGGGGAAAGCCTAGAGAGTACTTCTGGGGGCGGGGGAGGACAAAAAACTTTTTTTCTTACTTACCTCTTCAAAATCTTAGTGCGTCTTATACACTGGTACATCTTATAGTCTGAAAAATACGGTAATTTGGTACATTTTCTTCGTAAGATACTTTAAATTTTGGGAACAATATAACTTAAATATTTTTAAATGTGTAACTTTCCCCTGGATAAAATCTACCATATCTATATGGTCACTAGGAATTGAAACAACTTTGTGGTGAATAATCAATAAACTCTGGCCTTGAAAGGTGATTCAGTTCACCTCTGTAAGGCATTTGCTTTGTTATATTCCCCCCTGCTTTATGTAATATGTGTTCATATATTTCAAATTCCAGGCCTTGCCAGGACAACAGCACTGTTATTTCCTCAACAAAGATGCCCCATTGCCAGATGGACGAAGCCTTCAAGGAACACTGCTTAATAAGATTGCTTTCCACCATCCTAGTCGAGTACCTCTCATTCTCAGTATGATCAGGCATCAAGTGGCTTACAATACACTAATAGGCAGCTGTGTCAAACGAACTGTTTTAAAAGAAGGTAAGTACTATTGCTTCCTTTAAAAGGAAACACCCAAAGAATGTTGTTATATCCAGTACAGATAGTCCTCAACTTACCACACAGTTTGTTTAGTGACAATTCAAATTTATAACAGCACGGCTAAATGCTGTGACCATTTTTCACACTTACAACTATTGCAGCATCCCCATGGTCACTTGATCAAAATTCAGACACAGACAGCTGATTCATATTTATGAGATTTGCAGTGTCCCAGGGTCATGTAATCACCTTTTGTGCCCTTCTGACAAGCAAAGTCAATGGGGAAGGCAGATTCACTTAACAGTGTTACTAACAAATGTAGTGATTCACTTAAAACATTTGTGTCAAGAAAAATCATACAATGGGGCAAAACTCGCTTAATAACTGTTTTGTTTAACATCAGAAATTTTAGGTTAACTTGTGGACATAAGTCAAGAACTACCTATAATATATTTATCTATATTTGCATGCTATTGTGCATCTTTTGTCTCAAGAATTATAGTAGGTTGTATATCTATTTGAAAGATAGACAAGTTCCAGTATTGGATTTATAGACTTTATTTGGTTATTTGGTTTGATTTGGCATCACCCAGCTCAAAAGACCTTGAAAATTTTGAAGTACATGATTAGTACAAGCAGGCATAAATTCAATTTTTGCGAAGTGTTATTTTTTTCCAGATGAAACTTAAAACGTCTTTTGTAGTTGAAAATATCTTTTACAGAGAAAATTGGATAAAATTAGAACAGTATTGACATGGTGCCTGTATTTTAGACAGTAATTAGAAATAATTTAAATTATGATTTTGGCATGTTGAATTTAAAACTAATTTTGTATGAAACCTAAATGTATCAGTATTTTCCCAACAAAAATACTTTATTTGTTTGTTGGAGGCATGAAGTGAGTACAGAATATGTTAGATACTTAGATAATATTAAAAATAAGATAAATGAAATCAAATTACAGTTAGGAGAATTTGTTGTCTCTCCCCCAAGGAATCCAGATTGGCGAGTTTAGGATTTTTTCGCTATAGCCTTGCAGCAAATCTGTGAGATAGGTTAAGTTACAAATGGCAACATATGGCCATTAGGATATTTTTAGACTGCAATTCTTGTCAGTCTCACCATTGACCTTTTTGATCTTGGCTAATATATAAATGAGAGTCACAGATAAGAGCAAACAGCAGAGAGAAAAACAGTTGCAATAGTCCTACAGATATCCCTTACATTTTTGAAGAGACTTCATCTCAGAATTGTTTAAAAAATATTAGCTGTCTTTTTATCATCAGGAATGGTTCTTCTACCAAGATTAAACATATCTTTCACTTTCATTTGCATATTTTCCTTAGAATTGTTTCCAAGAGCAACTAAATTCAATTGGAATAGGCAGAGTACAAAGTAATAAAAACTAAAAATGGCAATAAAATATATAGTAGTTTATAAACACATAACATGATTTAGGCAGCTATGATGAATCAGTGAACTGAGCACAGTTTTGTTCTATGCAGAGGACAAGGCAGTCTTATCAGAAAGGGAGATGGTAGATTTCTGTATCTCTCAACAAATGTGCAAGCCTCTAAAGAAATGAGTATTTTATTCTAAAAGTGCAAAGCTTTTAAGTTTTTCAGAACTCAACAAGCAAACAACAGTTAGCAACCAATTAACTGAACCAGAACTGCAGTATTACTGATGGTTCTGTCATTCCCTAACATCAATTCTATTTGGGAAGATCTTTTATTAAATCACATTTAACACACACACACTGATTTAGCTCTGAAAAGTTTTTTTATGGGGACAACAAATTATCTAATCTTGCCTTCAAATCTATTTTCCAATGTCATAAATAAATTGCAAATAAAAACATGAATGTTTCTTATTTCCTTGACTTTCATTATAAAGTGAACAGTGTTCTCTGGAATGTCAAAGGCTTATTGATATCCATACTTAAACAAGTATTTTTCTTTTGGCTATATTACCAAGTTGTGGTTTTTTTTTTTTCAGATTCCCCTGGCATCCTGCAGTTTGAAGTCTGCCCTCTTTCTGACTCTTGCTTCAGTGTATCTTTTCAGCACCCTGTTAATGACTCCTTAGTTTGTGGTGAGTTGCAGGAAGGAGGAGGATTGGGGCAAGATATATGTATAAACTGAGAGCCAGTTTCATCTAGTGGCTAAGACACTAGACTAGAAAGCAGCGACCACATTCCACTTTAGCTATGAAAACCAACTGGGTAACCTTGGGCCAGTCACATTCTCAGCCCAACTCACATCGCAAGGTTGTTGTTGTGGGAGAAATTGGAGAAGAAAAGTGTGTTGGATATGTTTGCTGCCTTGAGTTATTTATAAAAATAATAAAGGCAGAATACAAATAAATAAACTGGCATTGATTGAAAATTGACTTATTTCAATAACATTCTGCTTATGAATTTTGTCTTTCAGTGGTAATGGATGTACAAGATTCTACCCATGTAAACTGTAAATTGTACAAAGGGCTTTCTGATGCACTCATCTGCACAGATGATTTCATTGCAAAGGTTGTTCAAAGGTATGTCTTCTTAAACAAAAACCCCCAATGACTTAAAACTAGTAAAATATAAAAGTGGTTATTCAAATAGCTTTCACCATAAATCTTTACTGCTTTTCTGTTTCATACACTGCTATTTTTCAGATGCTACTACAATAGCAAAAAAAAGCCTCCCTCAGTGCAACACTATTCTGAATTTACTTTGCCTAATTTTTTCAAAGCTATACAACAAGATTAGCCAGATTCATGTACTATATTAAGATATAATGTACTTTGTTTTGTTATGGCTTCACATAGTAAATCCAGGCAATATAGATTGTAAGTAGTAGTTTACAGATTCAAAATGTGTATGAATTGGGCCATTAGATTTAGATTTATTAACATTTGTATGCCGCCCACTCCCATTGGGACTCTGAGCGGCTTACAGACAAGACAAAAGAAACATATATTAAAAAATTTAAAATAAGGATACAAGTATTAAAATTT